GGCGGAGTCACTTTGACTAGTTTGCGGTGACGGTAAGCGGTAAGTAATAAAACAAGACCCAATTTCTACTCAATAAAATACTAACAGATGATTTAATTGTTTAAAAATTAAAACGCAACACCTGACGTTTATCTGTTGTACTGCGTGCCCTATTTTTTTGTACCAAACTCGTGTTTTTTCACAGTCGTCTTGCATTCAGAGTTTGTAGTAAGTTAAAGACAAGACGCATTCTTTGCCATACGAATATGGACAACAGTCTGTTTGCTCTCCAGGATGAGTCATGGCTGTTTTGCTGAGAAAAGTGAGGCGCACCGACGCAGCAGCTGCCTCTGTACTGGAACGTAAGTCTTCATCTGACCCCTGAGACCAGGCTGGACAAACTGCAGATCCAGTTACACACACTTGGTCCCACAGAATCGCAAGCGCGGACAAATCTGTCCTCGATCTCAAACACTTCTTCCTTATGAAGTAAAAATAAATAAATGAGTATAGCAAGCCAGCGGCGTGATTGGTGTGCTGTTCTCTCTCTGATAGCTACAGTGCATTGATATTATTTTTTGCCATTTTTTTTCACTTTGCAAACTCTAATTTCAATGTGTCTTGTTGTAGTTTTGCGTTAAAGGTGTACAAATGCATTACACATCTTTAGGATTAAGAATCTGAAAAGTGTGGTGTGCATTTATGTTTGATTCTGCTGAATTAATACTTTATGCAACCAACTGTTGATGGAATTACAATAACAAGTTGTTTAGGGTAAGTTTCTAAACTTTTGCTCTTATTTCTTTACAAGATTGCACAAGCTTAGTATTACTGGATGGAGAACCTCTTTTGCCAAAGATCCTCAAATTGATTTAGGTCTGGACTTTGACTAGACCCTTCTAAAACATGCATCTACTGTCATCTAATGTTCCATTGTGTTTAAGTTGTTGTTTACATATGAGGCAATTCAGTCAAAGAGTAGCACTAGATTTTTTTTAAGGGTGATGCAGAATGAAAACAAGTCAAGACACCCTATTTGTATTTGTATTTTTTATTTTTTTAATGATTTGTACCACTGTGTCGCATAAAAGCACACAAACTCCCAAGAAAGTTTCCATGTTAATTTTCAGAAGCAGATTTCCGCACAGATTCAGAGATCCGGTCTCTGACTCGAGCAGACCTACACGAGCTGTTTCCCGGACCGGAGAAGCTGAAGCTAAGACGGATCATCTTCAGAATTATAAAGAAGCATGTGAGTTTTTTCTGCACTTTGTGTTCTGCCTCTTTGCTGCTCATAGAACTGCACAGTGCGCATAAATTCTTACCAGTTGGTTTGTTTTATTCATGCAGAAACCAATAAATGTACTCCTGAAAGAACTCGAAGGTTTCATCCTACCCTATTCCCTCAGGGGTAAGATAGTTTTCCAGTAACACTACTAAAATGCCACTTCAGTATTTTTCCTTCTAACACAGATGTGTACTTTCTTTTTAAGATTCTCTATCTTGCAGTGGGGTCTTGGTTGACTACCTCCATACCCTGAAGGACATGAAAGATCAGATGAACAATGTGCAGAGTGTCATTGAAGCGCACATTAATTTATTGGAGGACATCAGTAAAGCTCAGCCACTCCGGGAACGAGACTCAGGTTGTTATGAATCGTTATTGTAATGTATGGTTTTGGTATATTTTTCCAATGTTTTTTTTTTTTTTAAGTCTGTAACATGACAGATTCACATTTTAATCAGTGTTTCTTTTCTATTGTAATAATTCATTAACTTTAACTCCGGTCGTGATTCAGTGGTTTTCATCTAACCTGTGTTTGGATAGAAAAAGCTTTTGGAGCCTTAATATTTTCAGCCTCTGCTTCTGGTGGTCAAATCATTTAAATTAGTTGGAAATGATCATTTCACAGCCGTATGAAATCTTGCAAACAGCTCCGACTCAAATCGCAATATGGTCTTTCAATGATATGTACAATCCTTCAAATCTGATGTCCTTTTGTTATTATTTTCTTGTTAAAATTCAAAGATCCTCTAAAAGAAGCAGGATTCCCTCACGCTGCTTTCCATTATGTTGTCTGTCCATACAAAAGCAGGGCTCTGACAAACCACAAAGCCCCGTAAATACAGCTAACATGAAACAAGAAGGCTTGACGTTTTGCATCTATTTGATATTAAAATAGATTACGCTCTATGATTTAAGTAATAATTTAATTAAACCAATAAAAAGCTATGAGAAAGTGATTACTTTTAAATAACATGGCAATGTAGGAAAAAATTAATAAAATAGTTGAAAACCATAATCAGACTTATTTTTATTGATTTATTTATTTTTTATAAACCTGACAGATCTTTTATCCAATCCTGGCACAAAGGCTTCCAGTCTTTCATCAGAGCCCTACATTACACCAGAGAACAGACATTCATATGCAGCTCAAGGTAAATCTCAAGTTTGACCTGCCCCCTTTTATTTTTACTTTTTTACATTTTCTGATGACTTATGCCTGTCATATTTTTGTTTGTCTGCCATGTATTTCTGTGGGATAGAATAACGTTTTAATCTAATAATGATCCAGCATTGCCTTCCCATTCATCCAACACCATAGCAGAGACATTTTATTATTCTGATAAGACATGATAAGCAAAAAACAATTTTTTTTTTATTATGGTTGTTGCTATTTAGCAACACTGCGTACACAATTTGCAAAAGCGGCATATAAATGTTGTAAGAAGTACCTTCTAAAAATGTTAAATAATCTCATGGTGAGGGTGGTAAGCCACATTGTAGTCTGCCATTCAGTCAGAGCCTTACATAGTATGACATTTGCTTTGTGAAATAGAATTATTTGGATTGGCTTTTTCAACAGTAGAAAAAAAAGATGCAAAGTTAGATTTGAATGCAAAATGTCTCTGTCCATTTTTACAGCTTCTCTCAAGCAAAATTAGAACTGGTGGATTTAATCTGTGACCAACATTATAATTTTCATTCTTATTTCTGAAGTAATTTCCACATAAAACTTTATTTAGTCAATCAGTTCACAAATGTTCATTCATTTCCCACAGTGATGTACCAGATGGTTGTCGGTGGTAAAACCTTTGATGCCCATCTTCAGCTGATGGCCGAGGTCCAAGCCCAAGTGCAGTGCCAGGTTCAGCTCGTTTCATGCAGTCAGGACGGCCAAGTCCTCATAGTCTTCTGCCCAATCACTTCCCGAACCGGGGCAGATGTTGATGGTGTCATGCGTAAAGTAACAGGTAAACAAAAGATCAGATCGGACAATTTGAAATCAGATTCATTTATAATTTAGTTTCAACTTATAGTTATCTTTCTGTAAGCTGAAGATTCAGTAATTGTTTAGCAGAAATAATGTTAGTAATCATTTATTTAGATATCTATTTGATTTAAAGCTAACCTTGAGGTTTAACAATGAGCACATTCTGCTGGAAGAAAATCTATATATCTATCTCTATGATTTTACTCATTTTGTATGTGTTGTATTTTACCCAGTGACCTTCATTGTTATTATTTTTTATGATTTTCACTTACAATTAATAAAAACATGACATTTGTGATTAAAATATGATATAAGACCAATAAAAAAATAATACAGAAATGTTGGCTTAATGAAAAGTATGTTTTATACCTGGTTATGTTTATTTTCTAAAGGTATTCTTAATCTGACAAACAAGCTACACTGGAACACATATTGTAAAGTAATAAACATGACTGTAAAATGCAACTTTTATTCCACTAAATGTCACTATTTCTCCCCCACTGGACCTTTAAGTATAACCCCCACCCCCATTAGTGGGTTTAAGTTTTCCCAACAGCGACAATCAAGAATATTTTTTTTCTATTCTATTCTACCTGAAACTAAATTCTTGTTTTCACAGGAGAGGAACCTGTTATCCTGGTGTTGATGCACCACACACTTAACATCAGGGATACGGCAACAAGGAGGAAGTGGTCGGATTGCTCAAATATTGTGCTGCACGTCAATATTTTCTACCACAAGAAAGCGCATGGATTGCTGAAGTGTCAAGAAAACAATGCTGCTGTGATCCAGATACAGAACAAATTACTTGAATACTGTACTCCAAGAAGTAAATGGGCTGTGACTGGTGGATATAATAGCCCTGACATTGACAGCTGCTCCCATTTAGACGGTGAGGGCAGCGAGTTTGGCTTTAGGTTGTTCGACAGTGACAGCAGTAGCAGCACCAGCAGCAGCAACAGTGATACTAAAAGTATTTGGGGGCGTGTAGAATAAAGTTTTATTCATTTATTCTCTTTTTTATCAGTCTACAGTGATGTGAAGTTATGAATGTATTCATTGTAAATTTCAATATATACAGTAATTCTTGGGATGTTGTGCTGTAGTATACAGTGACTATATGTCCTTTTATAAATTTCCTGGAAGCAATAGTGATGTTGATCAAATAAATAGTAAAATTCAGTTTTACCACTTGAAAATGTAATCCAAATATTGAATAAATGAGATTATTCAGTCTCTCTTTTTTAAATTAATTTCATGCACATGTTAATTTAAAACTTAGAATGCTATATGAGAATAAATGTAAAGGGGTTTTAATACAGATTCGTTATGGCCTCCACAATTATGGGAACAATTTTTGACTTAATAGTTGCCCACTAGTAATCGACACCCTTCACAAGTGGAGGAAACAACAAACACTCATTGGTTTAAAAAAAAAAAACCCAGAATGTTCATTAGGTTTTTTTCTTTTCTTTTCCAAGCACATTTATGTGGTGAAATAGGTGCAGCAACAACTTCATGCTTCTTCTCTCTGTTGAAAATCTTTCTGGAAATGCTGAGGTAGTTAGTGGGCTACATGGTGCAAACAGGCTTCCGTAGTGTAATAGTGTACTTCCCTGCATAGAAGTACACCTCGAGTACTTTCTGTGTTTATTGTAGAGAGGTCCTTCTTCTCCCTGCATAGGGAAAGAAAAGTACTTGAAAGAGGCTCCAGGGAGTTTAGAGCGCCCTCTATGCTCTGACGCGAGAAAAACGGCTCTGGTCCACTTCAGTTTCACTTTCTCTTGACTGGGAAAGGGTGAGTATCAGGAGACACTAAAGTGAACCTAGACGAAGCAACTTTATGTTATTATTTAAGCTTTATAAATATACGCCATATTCCTCAGGATGTTTAGTCGTGATGAGGTATGACTAAGGGATTTCTGATGTCTTATTTGTTTCTCCTTTACCACTTTGGTTTTCACAGGCCCATTTTGTCGTGCTAAAGGGTAACCGAGAAGACACACGGAACAAGAATAAATAACTAAGCTGTCCTCTGTTTTTATTCCCCTCCGATAAAATGAGCGTTTTGCTAAGGGAAATACAAGCCTACGATCCAAGCGCAGCGAGGACACTCCTAGGTAAGTGATTCAATTATCGGACCAACAACCACACAGGCCTTTCCCACTGTATTGACTATTTGTCCAAAACTAAAATTCCAACATCGAAAAAACTCAAATCTCAAAAGTGATAAAAGCAAAGTGAGATAAATTCAAATAGTCAATACAGTGCACTGTGGGTTCTGGTTTACGCAGTCCAAAACAACAGTCAAAATGCAGCTCTTTGTTTACTTTATTCAGTTTTTAGCTAAAAACAAGTTACAGGCTTCGGATAAACCTGCCCTGACTCCTGCACCTGTTCTCACTGATGAAACTGACTGACTGATGACATGTAAAAAAAAAACCCCCATAAGACCACCAAGTGACTAAAGACTTATCTAAACCCTACATATTTATACTATGAAAAACACCCACTTCCCAAACTGAAATTAATTTACTAATTAAGTGAATTACTAACCCAAAAACTTATTTAGAAACAACAAAATAAAATAAACGTTCTAATTATAAATCAACTAGATAATAAGCAAATAAAAATGAACTAAATCATCTACATTCTAAACTTTAACTGAAAAAATGGAGAAATAGCTCTGACACACACTTCATTTCTACAGGCTCATCACAGGGACATATAACTCATACACTTAATTCAGGTCACTGTTGTGCTATGTTTTAACTTATGACCCTTAAAACTATTTTTCAGGAGCAGATTTCTGCACAGACTCAGAGATCCAGACTCTATCAAGAGAAGACCTGCATGAGCTTTTTCCTGGATCCAAGCAGCTAAAGTTGAGGAGGAAGATTTTTGAAATAATCAACAAACAGGTTTATGTCCCCTATGCACTCACACAAACCTAGACTGATGCGGTGCATATATTTACCTTTAGATAATTTTTGTTGTTGTTGTATTTTAATCAGAAACCAATTGAGAAGCTCCTGAAAGATCTTAGAGGTTTCCTCCCAGATGATTCCATAAAGGGTATGTTTCTCTTGAATTTGTTTTTGAAATTTTGGTTTCAAAATCTTCAGAAAAGCATGATTGTGTCAACCTTGCACTCTGTTCAGATGCTCTAAGCAGCAATGGGGTGTTGGTTGACTACCTCCATCTCCTGAAGGACATGAAAGTTCAACTGAACAATGTGCAGAGTTTCCTTGATGCACACATTCGTTTACTGGAGGACATCAAAGCTCAGCCACAGCAAAGACATGATGCAGGTTGAGTTTTCACGTCATCTTAGTAAATCTTACACGCTTGCTTCATTGTATTGTAACTTCATTTATCACAGTGTTTTTTTTTCTTTCTTTCTTTTTTTGTTGTTTCAATAGCTTGACTTTTTTTTTTTTTTTTATAAAAAAATGCATCTATTTTACTCTGTTTTGATTTCTTTTTGGTAGATACCAAAATTAGTACTTTTATTGTAACACATTTTCTCACATGGTATTCACGGCTAGTGCTGATTTAAAGTCCACAAAAAGTTCAAAATAGTTACGGCTTTATCTTCATGTATCAACTGTAATCTATTGCCTAATATTTTGTATAGACAAAAGCAGTCCGATGCTTGTTTTTGCTCACAGGAGACCGAAAACTGGAAGACAAAAGCTGATGTTTCATTTGAACAAATTCCCTAATGGTGGATTTTTTTTGTTTTAATTTTTTTAGTTACTGAGTCATAGTTATTTTTGAGTTACACTTTATCCTTTGAGAGTGAATACTTTTAATGTTGAGCATTAAATAAAAACAGAAAGTTAACTGAAGTTTATAATGACACTGTGTTTCATAGGTTCTGCTGCTGAGGCGCTGGCTGGTCCAACTAGTTTCTCTTTTGCACCACATGACACCACATCACAAAAACCTCAAGGCAAGTCTCACTGTCTCTGGTGTTTGCATTACTTACATTTAGCCTCTTTTGTAATATATTAGTTGTTTTGATAATTCTGAAAAGCTGAGCTCACTTTGAAGTAATTTTGAATTCTCTCTTAAAATTAAATTAAGCAATATCTTTAGAACCCCTTACGTAATTATTTTTGCTGATCCATTCGATGCTCTTTCTCAGTGAAAGTAAACCAAAGTGTCGGGGTTTCCAGGTCAACAAGCGTTCACTCTTATGGTCGTTCCCAGGTTGCACAAGGGAACAATTGTCATTATCATTTCATATCTCTTGACAAATGTTTTTATGTAATGGTAAAGTTATCCATGAGTAGTTTAACTCCGTGGCTGTAACTTCCCCCTTAGTGACTGTGAACTACAACCTGGTGATCAGTGGTCAAACATTTGATGCCCATCGTCAGATTCTGAGCCAAGTTAAGAGCTCAGCACTGCAGCTGAACTTGGTGGAGAGCCAGAGGAGTGACGATTGCCAGATCGTGTTGGTCTTCTGTCCAATTGCTTCACGTATGGGAACAGATGTGGAAGCAGCCATGACAATGGTTACAGGTGAGATTATGAGTTTTTCCAGACTTCTGTATTGACAATAAACTTCCATCCATTTGTTTCCAATCAGACATTTCTTGGCATTAGATATTTTTGGGTTTTTAATTTCAGTATGAATGAACAAATTACCACATGTTATGGTTTTTCAAACCCTACAATTTTGTATTTTTCCAAATAACCTTCTGCCTTTCATGGTGAGATAAAAATCAGCATCTTTTTGTGTCCCAGGGAGAAATACTTCATTTTCCACTTATGTGTTTTTGTTCTTTTGTTTGTTTTCTCTTCTGTTCTTCATAGGTACTAAACCTGTCATTCTGATCTTGATGCATCATGCTCATGAACCAAAACATGTTGGCAGAATGGAAACCTGGGACTACAATCCTAAGATTGTGCAGCATTTCAGTGTTTTCTATCACGAGAGTGTAAATGGATTAATAAAATGCAAGGAAAATAATGATGCCATCTCTGGAATAAGGCAGGAATTATTAAAACACGGAGTACTTACAGAGACAAGGGACTATTCTGTTAGTCAGAAAAAAAGCTTTCTTGGCTTGTTTTATTCATAGCTTGCAAAGGCTGTGCTGATTGGGACAATTATAACAACTAGTAGTGTGAAATAGTTGGCAAGAAAAGTGAAAGATTCAGATCTACATGTTAAAAGTGGGTGGTTAATCTGTTTAAAGTTAAATAATTTTTAACATTTATAGTTAATTCCTACATACTTTTTGTCTAAAATAATATAATAAATTGTTAGACTGCATTGGTGAGAGGTAAGAAAACCACATTACTGTTTTGTGCAAATACTTTCTGACATAGTTGTGGCTTTAAACAGTGATTGTAATTCAACAAATAAACCACATGTTTCAGAATGGTTGTGTCGTGATTATTTTTTCTATAACCACAATCAGGATTTATCAAATTAAGAAAACATTTGATAACAAAGTACTTTTATATGTTTTCTTGAGTTTTGCATTGAGTAATCTGGATCTCTGTGTAGACACAATTATTTATAACAATTGATATATAACAAGTTCAAAACCAACATTTGACCAGCAATGTAGTCAAGCAAACATTAACGTAAATGTGGAAGGAAAGTAACGGTCTGAATGTTAGTATGATGTTATGTTTTTAAAGCTGAATGAATATAAAGAAGTGCAGCCAAAACAGCCCACTTAATTAAAATATGCTGCTGGTTACTTTTTGTTTTTTAGTTTACATGGACAGTGCATGAGTTTTTTCCAGTGTCTTTTCTTATGCTAACCTTGATTTAGTGATTAATTACCCAATAAAAAAAGTCCAAGCGCTTATACTGTACCTAACAGCGGATCTTAATTCGAAGGAACACACTCTTACTTTGAAGAGATCAATCGGAAGTTGGCTGTGTTTACAAAACGTTTCATCCGGTTTGTGCTATCAGCTAGCACGCCTGCTAAAGTTCTGTTATTTTCTCACTTGTCCGGACCTTTTTCCAACTAGGTGCAAGATCAACATGGCTTCTGTGACACCAGCATGATGTCGAGTTAATTAAAATGTGACTTTATGTGCGGTAGCGAGAAGCAGAGCTCTTTCCAGTATTGGCTCGTAGCTGTGCAGTAGCAACAGATATTCTGCAGCATTAATTTATTTCAACAGGTGTTAGCTTTAAGAAAGCAACATTAGTGGGGTGAATCATTTTCTTTTTGTAAGTATCCCGAGTAATTTCCGCCTAGAAACGTTTATATTAGTCTAAATATCATTGGTTTCACGTATCTGGCTACGATGCGTGAACTTGGCAAGAGTTGAATGCCACTCTTACTTGTTGAAATAAATACATTGCTAGCCTGTCATGACATTCGGCCGTGTGCTGTTGAGCCTCAGTTTGCACAGGTCGAAAAGTGTTTGCTCACAAAAACTGAATATTGTAACAGAGCTCCAAGTTTGGAAGCTGCATTCAACGTTTGCCAACAGCTGTGGTAACTCAGAAGCTCTTAAACCCCCTTTACACAGATTCAGACCTCAGGTAAGAAAACAAGCTCCATCTGCCATCAAATGCCTAGATAAAAATGAATGCATGAATAATTATACCATTTGTCTCTGTTTCAGATAGCAGCTCAGTCCTGTATCTGTTTACCAGCAGTGAGTGTTATGCAGCCAGCCAGCATATCCTATGAAGGTCAGGGCAGTGTTGTGGCCTCTGATGGTGAATATGACGAGGAGGAGGGTTGTACAGGTGGGGCTGAAACCTTGGTTGAAGTGGAGAGCAGACTGCAACAAGATAAAGTTAGTTTAACCAGCCAGGTTGATGCGATCAGCTTGGAGGTCCATGGAAACATCGCAGACGCTGAAACCTCTACAGGGTTAAGTAAGTGAAAGCATACAGACTCAAATAATAATAATAATAATAATGTGGTTTGTTATTGTGTTGTGGCTGAGCTCTCTGGTTGGGTGCTTTAACTCATTCAAATTTGCGGATGACATAGGATCATTGAATGAAACTATGTATTTTTCCATTTTGTTTTCAAATTAGAACCAGTGTTCTTTTTTGTACTTCCTCTGTATGGTCAAGCAAAATGCTACAATACTTTTTAAAGGCAACATATTTTTATAATGCATTTTACATGTTTGTTATCTGCAGCTCCAGCAGCGTCAAGTGAAAAAAAATCAAAGCGGAAGATGAGGAGAGAGAGGATAAAGCTGATGGGGAGGAAGCTAAAATCAGCTGAAGTATCTGCCAATTTAATGTCAGAGCTGCCTTTTGCTCTGACCAGTCCCACCACATGGAAAGAGCTTGGCTGTATGTATATCTTAGCTTTTCTTCAACTACGTCAGTTTGACGACACTAACGTTGACCTGGCTGAATTAAAACCTGCTGTCTGCTTTCAGCTTAATGTAATCTCCTCATATGTGTCCTCACATAAGTTCCCATGCCAGAGACGTCTGAGAAAAAAAGGAAGAGAAAAAGAGGAGACGTAGGGGGCAGAATGGACAGCGAGGAGGATGGTGACCAGAAGAAAAAAAAGAAAGAGAGCCAAAGACCAAACTACTTTGTTTCCATACCCATTACCAACACTCAGGTAGGAAAACCTGACATAGGTGCGAATCTCCATATGTTTTTGTGTTAGTCTACAATGCTTAGGTGTACACTTAAAACACCCCGCTTAAGTAGAAAAATAAATCCTGTCCTCTTATGCCTTAAAGATTATTCTGTTTTTGTGACTAGTTTCTCTCTAGTATTTGAACTGAAACATACCGATAACACGAATTTAATTAATTGTGTATTTTGTTTGAATTAAAATGTTTCATTTCATTTGTTTTCTACATCATCCTCTCTCATATTGTACATAATAAAGTAGATATTTAATTTCCAGGAGTCAATTTTGTGTTTGTCAGAGTAAATAAACATCTTTCTGCTGCCAGTAACTGAAAGCAAATGTTTCCAACGGCAGATGAAGTCACTTGTGAAAGAGGTGCAAGAGGCCGTGCTTCAGAAGGAGCCCCGACTCGCCAAAGCCATGATCCCAGTCCCGACCCTTCACATCACACTACTGGTCACTCATCTGGCCAGTGAGGAGCAAGTAGAGCTGTGAGTTATCTCTCATTAATGTATGTCGGCATTTAGAAATGGAGCATAAAGACTTTCCAACTATTAGTCCCAACATTAGGGGTTTGAAGGCACACCACGATTTATGTTTCATCATACAATATGTAAGTCTAAATGCTTTCCAGGAAAATATAGTAAAAAATGTGAAACAATTTACAGTAAAAATAAGAAATGATTAGAAATCTGAAGGCAAAACATTGAGAAAATAATTTTTACCATATTGGAGTGAATTAATTGATAATGTTGATGAAGAAAACAAGCTTTTCTGAAATCACTGTTGATTTTTCTGTCTCAGTTTCCTCTTTAATTAGGCAAGCAGCAGGACTGCTTGCCTAATTAAAGAGAAATTCAGATGATGTTTTGAGATGATTTAATAGCCAGGGATTATGTGGCAGAGACCAGGGGAAATATTAACCAAATGCAGGGATTGTGTCTTCAACTGTCCTTTTTTATCTAAAAGCGCACACACATGTCTAATAACATATTCTACTGTGAAATTTTATCAAACAGAGACCCATCAGATTAATTTAAGCCAACATGTATATCCGTATAATACGTGGAGTATTGTGCTGAGGTTCTATTTAAATGAGTGGATTTGCCCTTTTTTCATTCTGAAAGCAAGTCGGCCATTTTAGCATTGCACTAATTATTGGCAAAATGTTGTGATATCAACATTTTGCCAATAATTTATGATTATCTATATATAGATAACTAAAAAAAAGAAGAGAGTAGAGGATGGATAAATTTTTGACTTTCCCACATTTTTCCATCTTTCATTTCTAAAATAGTTTTGAAAAATGGGTTTTGACATTGATTTATTGATTTATGGTAATCGGACTCACTTTGTCTTTGATTTGCCAAATCAGACCTTGATTTTGACATTTTGTCCTCCAGTATTTTGATTTTCCACTAACTGATTGAATACTCAAAAAATTAAAATTTGCTTACATTACTTTAAATTCAGGTTCAACTGGATCAAGTGGTTCTTAAATAAGGTGTAAACTACCAAACCTTTAGTTTTAGAAACTTTTGGAGACAACATAAAGACAGCTAAGTTTATATTTACAAAAATTTGGGTTTAATAAAAATTATGTTTAATCCCTAGTTAAAGGTAGCTATTTAATCTGTCAAACAAGCATTATTGAAACATATATTCCAATTTATTGAATAGAACTCTTTGTGATACCTTTGAGCTGTTCACAGCCCAATTAACCAAATGAAGCTTAGTCATATTGTTAATAGTTATGTTATTGCTACACAATAGCATACAAGAGTATTTACTTTCCATGCACATTTTTTGCCATACTAATTATCAAAATATTTTAATTAGAAATATTCAATAAACTGCATAAACTAAATGTGGCTAAAATGGTACCAGTTTTGTACTGATGTGGGGAGTAAAAGCTGCCCTCTGTGAGTGTTATTATAAAAATGAGCAGCTCAGATTGAAGCTGATCCATCTCAGTGTTTCCACAGCATGTCATGCAAAGATACATATTCAAAATCTGCATGAGGAAGAGTTTGTCTTTAATAACTTATGTTATTATGTAACCTGGCAGGGAGAGAGGGGGAGGATTAGGCGGGGACCTGCTCTGTGTGTACTGACGTGGGTATTATTATTATTATTTATTTCTCAGTGCGGCTGCCGTGCTGGCTCAGGCCGCGCCGTCAGTGGCTGAGCTGCTGGGGGGGCGGGACCTGGTGCTGCCCTTCTCGGGAATCCGTCATTTCAGGAAGGAGGTGGTGTTTGTTGGGCTGGACAGCGGAGAACACAGACACACACTGGACAGCCTTGCAGGTCAGAGTCTGTTTTCAACACTTCTACCTAGCAGTCACAGAAGTGTGAAGGTTGCTAATTATTATTTTTGAATGTGCTTCATTAAGGCTGAATGTGATGGGTTTAGTTTGTTGTGCTCTCAGGGGGGATGCTTGAAGTCAGGCTTGCTTCTGCAGCTGTTTGTTGTCTTTGTTTATCATTTTAACTTTATTCCAGGTGGATGATAAGTGAAGTCTAATAAGTTAACTGTGTGCCAGACATATTTAAATTAATTTAGGTGGCTTGAGGTCAATTTAGCATTTTGGGATTCAAAAGGTAAAATCTGAACATGATCACCTGGGAACAAAGTTTTAACACACATCATAGAATGAGTAATTCATTGTGTTTTTCAGTGTGTTTAAAGCTGTGGTTTTCTATCCTTGCATATATATGTCAAAAAAATATTTGAATGTATGATTTGGATATGTGCCTGTGGTTGAAATGCTAAGCCAACATTTCTAAGAGGATTCCGACTGTAAGGCCGACATGCTCACCAGCTAAAACAAGAATGACCTCAAAATTCAAAACTGCACTCTTTAGTTTATTTAGAAATCTGGATTGTTTTCATGAAGTAGAAACATAGACATGTATGACACAATAAGGAAGCTTTACAAGTTTCCCATCCATGAGATATTAGATTATTAGTATTATGCCTTTTTCTTTTTTGTTTAATTTTAAAAGGTCTTATTTGGAGTGGTCCAGGTATTTTTATATCTTGTGCAAGACTTCTCAGCTTCACATCCAGGATATTTACTTCTCATATTTCTCTAATATTTTGATAAATGCCACTCTAAAAAAAAAAAAAAATCAAAGATTCAATAATCATAATTCTGTTTTTATGAAATAGAAACAAATTTTTAAACTTTTTTACATAGTATAATGGTCTTGTTATCATCATATTTGCCACAGAGAGAGTTAATCTGCACCATGAATGGGCTGCTTAGAGAGTCTCACTGTGTAATACTGTACACTACAAATTTAGGCTCACTGTATTAAAGCATACATTTAAGAGAGTATAAGTTTAGCTACCTGATTTAAAAGAAAAATGTACAGCTTGATCTGATTTCTTACGTAAGCATCCTACTGATGCTGAAATAGTGCAACACATTAATTACTACAGTTTATCATTTTTTGTAACATTTACTTTTTGTAACATTTACTTTTTTATTTACTGTAGATTCACTAACAAATATAAATTATGTAGATAATAAACACATAATCGCAATTCTGTGTTAATGTATGTAAGTTACTGTATGACTGGATTAAATTGATTTTGTTTCTGAAAAGTGCTTTGAGACCACATGTATTGGAAATTGGCACTCTATAAATAAACTGAATTAAAGTGAATTGAAGTTGTAGCTTTCAAGCGGGCAGATTATTTTCCCCTTTTTTCCATCCTCCTCTTCATAGATAAAGACGAGTATAATAAGCTATTATTAGCTAGCCTGCACTCTGCCACTTAATAGAAATGTTTTGCTGAGCTTCCCTGCTGTAGTTTTAAAACATGGCTTATTGGAAGCGATAATGGATGCTTCTTTACTTCCAGCTCCCTGCACATCTGTGTTTTTGACAAGCACAAAGGGTTCCGAACCTTCAGATTTGTCTTTTGTTGGGAGCAACTGACAAATTGTTACTATTGTTTCTTTTTTTATCCTACTGAGCAGCAACAGGTTTGTTAAGGTGGTGCTGTGTTGCTTTATCCTCGATACAGTCAGAGAAAATTAATTACGCTTTTCTCTGCCCTTTTAAAGAAAAAATACGGTAAACAGTAGATGTCAAATTGTTGTGGTTTTGAAACCATAATTTTAAAAATTTTATTATAGATTGATAGCAGTATGCGTTACTCGACATCCGCACTTTCTGCATTTTTCCTCTAACGTGTTACCTTTCAAAATCATGTACTAATTATTTTAGACTTTCTGATCACATCCATTTGGTTAGTTGTAAGATGTAACTTCTTGGATTTTTAAAAAATTTTTACAAAGAAATAATATCACTAAAATGACTTATCAAATTTTTTGAGCACAGCATAAACATTCCTTATGTGATACAATTCATGACGCTAACTTCGTCCAAAAGTTGAGGTTCTGAAGTCTTTGTATCCTTGTGAGGTTCTGCATGCAGGAGCATTTCAAACAAATTAGATTTTAGCGTCGTGCATACAAGGTAAAACATGGTTGATAGAAGAAGAGAGGCTGGTATTTTTGTGTTTAATCTTGAACTGAATTTCCATGTAGCAGCTGGAACAAATGAAGGATAAGACAACAAGTTAGAGCCTCTTGTCATCCTGTCTGCTCTCTCCACCGCTGTTATTGATTATATACTAACCTTTCTCTCCCTGCAGAGTTTCTCTTCTAAAAATACCTCTCTAGCTTTCCACTAAACCTCATCAGTTGGTGGGTGTTTGTTTTCTGCATGTGTTTATCTGTCTTTGCAGCCTATTTGTTTACGATTTTTAAAAAAATCTTCTGTGTGATTTGCCTACAGTATAGTGTTTGCCATTACTTGTGAACTAACATTGTTCCATTTTCATATTAGCAGTGAAGCTATTGCGTTAATTGTTTTTACTTTCCAGTTGTAGTAATTCTTGTGTTTTTAATTCTCATTTTGCAGCAAAGTCTGAATTAGGGGAAAATAAAACGCATATCTTTCACGTGCGTTGCAGAGTTGGTGCGTAGGCGTTTCGAGGAGCAAGGTCTCCTGCAGGGAGACAACCGTGACTTCGAGCCGCACCTCACCATCATGAAGCTGTCGAGAGCGTCAAAACTCCGATTTCAGGCATGAACCTGCGACAAACACTACACAGAAAATGCAACAAAATTGTATTTGTTTTCATTTTAGTTTTCTCCCATGAAAGCCAGTTTTTCTTCTTTTGTATTGTTTGTTAAAAAAACAACAACTCACTAATAAACTTAAATAAATCTTTTATGACCAAACCTTCCTTTCAGTGGTTTTTGAAATTTTTATCTTGCATAACGTTTGCTCTTGTTACACCTACATTTTACGTTTAAGTGGATATAAATTTGTTCCATCATCTTCACCTCTGATCAATGCAGGACGTAAGGAAGAAGAACATCACAATATGTGACGTTATGTAAATACTATGTTCAGTAATGAGAATTTGATAGAAATGGAAGAAGCAAAAAGAAATGTCTCTGTTAGAATAGAAGTGACACAGGAAGGACTGCATCTATTTTTTTTCTTCCTGTTGACATTTGATGATTTCCTGGCTGGCGCCTTCCAGACAATGTCACAGTTGTGTCACCAAGAGGATGTAAGTGTCATAAAGCCGATGATTTATTCACTAAGGGCTATTTTTATTTTCTTATCTCCACCAGGGAATAAAACGAGTGGAACCAGGCCTTTACTCCGACTACACAAACAAGTGAGTACTCCATTCGTCTGTAAACAGCCAATACCAAAGAAGTGGGGTGCATTGATTTTGTTTAATGGGATTTTGTGGGTATTAACACTGGCTCATTAGATTGCAGTAATTTATGCTGTTTGAGACTGGTTTAGATCATTTGTAAAATATGTTTTGCTGCTTTTTATGAATAATACATTGGTGTAATAAGATTGTCTAACAGATTATTATCAAGGTCCAAATTCATGCTGGATTAAGAGGGTTGTGAGGTGTCCTGGACTCTAATGTCCGTGCAATCTCTGTTGGATTTTGGCAAATCTGTAAAAACAAATTCCAATAGGAAGTTAATCCAGCACACAGTCTGAAGCTGTCTTTACAATTATGTCAATGTATCATTTATTCAGTGAGCAGCTAATCACATATGTTCCTTCTCTTTCACCAGCTTTATTAAAGAGGATGGCAAAATTTATTTAGACAGTCACATTCTACCTTTGAACTGCAGACAGGAAACCTGTTTTTTGTCAACCAGTGGCCAGTCTATATGCGCAATTTGGAGTAGTTTGTGCTTCTGGGGGTCACAACTACAGGGAGATCAGCTCACACCAATCTCTATGCGCAAAAGGCCTGATTATGGTACTTTAGCTGCATGTGTTCTGGAGGACTTCTCCAAATTCCTGCAGAGGATCCACTTTTTGGATGATTTGTGATGTTATGGTGAAATCTCAATCTGGTGTGAGGGGGGGTTTAAACAGTATCAAATGTATTAACACTGCAATCGCATCTGTGCCACTTGTTTTTGGTGCTGATTGCTTTAAGATGGTTATAAAAACTGATGAACAATCTTTCTTTAATGCTCAGGTTTTTTGGAAACCAGACAGTGGAGCGTTTGGATTTGTGTTCCATGTTAAAAAAGAAGCAGCAAGATGGATATTATCACACCGAGACTTCACTACAACTAGGTAAGCACTCACAGTGTGAGTCTCGGGCTCTTTACAGATCCACCAGAGGGCGCTGTCACTTTGCATATAGGATTGTGAATTTCCTTGTCCATGTAGATTTTAATATCAAAGGGTAAAATTGTCTGTTTTTTTACATCCTGTTTTCGGATATAATTGCCTCCATTTGTATCTCCATCACTGAAACTGAGCCGTCATCTGTATTTGTTATTCATTATAACATGTGAAGCTTGGACTGATTTATGTTGCAGAAGGTCAGTAAACCTGGCGGTTCCTCACGGCAGCCAGGTGAACGCTTGATTGGGAGAAATTTTCATAGAGTCATGGTTTTTAAACACCGTTTAAGCTCACATGGGCATCAAAGGTTCGGCGTAAGACAAATTGGCATAATGGAGCGCGGTGGGCTTACTCTGGAGCTCATTTCCATTTCTGACTCTGCTTCCCAGTTGCTCATTACCGCCCTGCCAGTGCTGCAGAGTAAACCCCGGTCATGTTGTAAAATACAAGCGCCAGGCTAATGAAAGTAGTACAGAAGGTGTGTGAGTTACAGCGGCGGTGCTTTAGGAAACAAAGTAGTTTCTGTAAGTTCAACATGTGTTTATGCAAATTTTGAAGCAGTGTGTTGTTGATGTATTAGATGCAGCCGGAAGGCTCAGTGACTCACTGAGCAGCTTGTTAATGAATTTCAGTTTTTTCAACTCATTACATAATGGGTACAAAACATTTGTCCGTCCATATGTGTTCCTCTAAGTAGGTCCTAAAGTTGGATTGGGTGTAATTTGTTGCTAAAGCATGTAGCCATAATTCACAGTTGGACCATATGCTCTCTTTCCCAATAAATGTGAGTTTTATAAAAAGTGAATATTGCAAAAACGCTCAGAAAGTGAATGCGGGATATGGTAAAGATTAAATACAGCAGATTGATGTATTTGAATAATTGAAGTATGTCAAGTTGTTGCTGCTTGATGCAAATAAGTCTCTGGGAAAATTCGAATACCTCACGAATTTGTGTAATTTTACACAATCAGAGATTTACACAATCAGAGAGTATCAACGATATGTCCATGTAATGTACAGTAATGATCACTGAACAACCGTCCTGCTCTCATTATTTTCCTTACCCTAAGATAATAACAAGCTTCTCACTTTGTATGTGGTTCTGGAGTTGCTTGAAACAAGCAATGCAACAGTTGTAGCCCTTATCATGGATACGTCCCTGTGGAGTGGCCGCTATCCATTCCTTGTGATTCTTCTCAAAATTCTTTAATGGATGCAGTTTTTCCTCTTGGTACAACGCTTTTTCCTTCCACCGAACTTTCTAGTCACATTCTTGGATGCAACTTCTTTAGCAATTTCATTTCCTTCCATCCAGTCTCAGATTTTGGCTGGTACCATACATAGGGCCTTCATGCTGTGCCTACATTTGCCTTAAATTGATAATGATTGCTGATATTTTGACATTCTAAGTGACTGAAAATATGAAAAGGTTTTACATTTTTACCTGAAAAATGTGGAGGGGTCATTAATCATTGAAATGATTTTCAATAAAATCATTTTCAAAATTTTATTGAAGTTTCCTTTTCTTTTTTTATTATCTATTATTCTAATTTCTAAATTAAGCTTTATTTATAATCTGAATTACAGAACAGAACTGTTGGAAAATCTTGTTGGAACACAGAATAGCACAATGCTGTTCCTCCCCCACCTGTTTCTGCACACTTCCAGTACCGCCCTTATTTTTTTGGTACAAAAAAGACAAATTTGACTGTAGAAATATTTCTGACTGCAAATCCTGAAGACCACTGCAGTGTGGGAACTCAATGAGCATCATCCATCACTCTTATTAAAGTAAAAATGGTTTGAAACTACAGTGAACAAGAAGGTCAATTTCATTATGCAGCTGACTGCAGCCCCCACCCCAGCAGTTAGCCTGACTAATTAAGCAACTAACATCAGTTTCATAACTCATTAGTGTTATCGTCTTCATTATATCTTTATTCCAGACACAATAAAGGACCACAGTAAAAGGATAAAACAAACAAATAGAAAAATTTTATTCTCTGCAAAGAACAAGTGCAAATTACTGATCAGTTTGACAAGAGCTTTTACCTGGTGAAATCTATGCATAACAGTAGGTAAAGTTGATCAACACATTATTTATTTGCATGAATAACTATTGCTTTTTTTGCTTAAAATAAAATAAATCACAATTTAGTGAAACCATTAACACTCAATTTAAGCCTTAAGTAAGAAAAAACATCAGACTTTTAAATAATAAAATAAAGTGTAGAAAATGTAAATTGTCACTTTCATTCTAGTTAACAGGATCAACGTGTTATTCATACTGACTATCACAGGTTGATAAAGAGTAGCAAAATGGTGATTCCTTTATTCCACTGTCAAGTTTACTAATAGCTGTGGGCGTGGGTTTGTGTGAGTGACAGAGAGCTGTCAGTTTCAGTAGAAGTGGGCTGTCACGGTGTTTGGTGGAGCACTGGATTTTACAGGAGAGTGGCAGTGTGTATGTGTGTGGGAGTGAGAAACGGCGCAGAGGGATGTTTACCTCACACATCCCTTCATCAAAAGGAAGCTTGTGTTTTTGCGAAGAGCTTCCCCACAACAAGACATGCATATTTAAAGCTGAACATCATCTGCACTTCTGCTGTTTCACAGCCGAGGATGACGAACTGGAGAGTTTACAAACAGAGTGATAATTCTTACTGTGTGTAAATGTGGTAGAAGTGAAGGGAATTGTTCAGATAAACATACTTTTGTACTATTTTCATCCCATCGTTTCTCCAGAAGTTGTCAAATTAACTTAAAATAAACTGTAAGTGATTAAAAAAAGAAAAACAAGAGAAACACTGGATATGTTTTTTCGATAAGGTGAAGCAAAAAGAAGTCCTGAGTGTCATTAGTTGACAACCTGATCCAATAATGTCTCGTTATGTGGAATCCAGAATGATTCTTTTCAAAACAGTCTAGATTAACTCTCCTTTTGTCAAACTCAATTCAAAATATCAAACAAGCACAATGAACGTCAGTTTAATTCCAATAGTTAAAGTAATTTAAGGATGCCCATTCAAATGAAAACCTCATTTTGACCAAGCATGTGGCGAGAGTAAAAACTCTATTTCGAGGTAGAAAATAAGCCAATAAAAGTTCCTGTGCTGCACCCAACATTTAAAAAAACTATGTCTATTCGTTTCACTTATTTAAAAGCAGCATGAGAATTGAAATGAAAAAGAAAGCATTCAGCATTCTAAAAGTCTCTTGGTTTAAAAGAGGCCAGCGTTCACAGTTGGGCTTTAAATATCCATAGTCTGAGGCCAAAACACATGATGAGCAGTATGTGGCATCACTCTCTCCTTGGGAGGGCCCTTGTTCAGCCAACACTCTGTAGTTTCACGGCTGACACAAAATAATCACGAGGCAACCATAAAAAAAGAAGTGAATCTTTTATACACAGTTCAACTAATTTACCCAAGAAACTGCTTTAAATCTTGAAATGGTTTAAAGGGGTGCCTCTCCTACAGGGCAGCTTCAAGTCAATCGAGCACAAGACCTGGAAATGAATTACTATGTTTTTATTTCACTTTTGACTGATGTGTTTCTTCTTTTCTAAATAGGGACATTTAAATGAGAAAAACTTTTATTTTGTTTTATATTAAGAAAAAAATCCCACTTGATCAATGTTAATGACCGATCTGCAGTCGACTGTGTTAGATATTGTTGAAGAGGTTGTAAAATGTACATTCAGAGTCTGTATAATTCAAACTGTACATACGCTACTCTAGAATCCAGGCACAGTCTTAGATAAACGCTCATTTTACGCTCTTTGTGACAATCCATTCTTGTGGAGCAAGTTTGCTAAGGTTTTTGGCTAATGTTAGCTGCTTTACTCTGTTTTGATGCGACTCATTTAAATTTGAGCCTTCACATCGTTCAGGGCGGCTCCAGCTCTGTGTGTGTGAGCAAACCTTTCCGAAAAAGTTGCTCTTCTGCTTCGTAAACTTAGCAGTTTCGCTTTGAACAGTTTAAATTTCAACATCAAGTGTTTCAGCTGCTCTTTGTGGAGCTTTTGCATGTGGCCTATAACTAAATTTTGCAAGATAGCAGTATAATAACAGCTTTTTATAAAACCGGTAGAGCAGATTGCAACTACACATTTTGTTTCGGTTGAGGCAGACAAAAAATTTTAAATGTCATTTAAGAGACCATCAGATAGAGTGGTTTTAGAGATTAAATGAATGATGTCATACGTTTTTGCAGAAACATCACTGGTGGAAACATGAAAGATGGTTTAGAAAGCAATGTGCAAGTCCAACACATCCTTTATATCTAACAGGAAGCCAGTGAGGTTTACTAAGGCTTTTAGTGGTGAATCCCAGTGGACAGTGTCTGACTGTGCTTATAGACATGTTAATCCTGTAATCCTGTAAAACATAATCCACAACGGAGTCTGTTATTTACTGTCCAATAGTTAAGGGCTGGATGATGAGGGGGATGCCTGAATATAAGGAGAATACTACAGTAACTCAAGATTTATTGTTCATACTAATAACCTTTACGTTTTCCATGTTTGACATGCAGGGATTTGGCATAATTACCTCCAGACTTTCTTTATCCGCATCAGAGGGGACATAAAAGGTTTTAAAGCCGGAGCACTCTGAGGAGAAATATTTAAGTTTCTTCCTGTTCTCTTTCTCCACGCTGCTCTGTAGGAATGTGACAGCGATGTGTAAGCTAAGAAACTGTTGATGATTCATTGTGTAGGCATGTGTGTGTTATTGTGTGTGTGACAAGGAAACCGTCAGTATTGTGTCTGCAACAAGACTGCTTGTTACGTAAAATGTAAGAAATGTCTAAACAGTTTGACTTTCAGTTCGCCGGACAGACCGTTGTTCTCTGGGAAGGAGAGCTTTATAAGTGAGATTAACTTCAGAATATCCAAACATCGTAGTCTTGACGGTACAGGTTTTTTCCTCCAGATGGCCCATGCG